TGCTGTAGCTTGATAGCTGATGTTTCTTCAGTTAAAAAGTCCAGTGACTTTTTGATGTCCTCAATTTCCTCAGCGGACGGCGTTCTCTTAGGCCCCATTTAGTTTGTTGTCTCGCTCGCTCCGTTTCCGTGTATCTCTTCCAAGTGATACGATACGGAGTGACACGTACTTCACAGTACGTATCACTCCGCGAGGCGCCTGCCTAATATAGCCGTAATGCTCCGACAGTCCATCAAGCGGTGCGGCTTCGTAGCTTAGCAATTAGCAAAGCCGCACTAAAACATTTGACAGATTTTCGAGCGCCGCGTACGACATAAAATCGTTTCGAGGTCAATAAACACAACCAGAATTCATACATAAGGCACACGGGATTATAAGGGGCACTGTCAATTTTCAGAAAAATCAAAGGATTGATTTTAAGTGTGCCGTATTTTCCAAACAACACGGTAATAATGACGGCCCGGTAGCATGCTCTACCAAAAATAGTGCTTTGTTGTGTATCTGACGGACGAAAGCTAAACCAGTTCCACACCACTGAAGTTGCAGCATTTTTACAAACCAATTCTGGTTCATCCGTTTCATTTAACGACCCTCTTTCGTTCTTCTCATTCTGCGTCGCCGCCATGTGCCTATGTAAACATAGGCACTGCGCATGCACGTTTTACCCATATTCTATCGCGATATTTCATTTTCCTATCGTTGCCCAAAATTATACCGGTATTACCGTGAACGGTATGATATAGCCCAGCCCTATAACGAAATATTCTAATAATCTGAGATACTTTTTGATTTTCATGAGTCACAATCATAAAAATTTAAATAGATATAAAACACTGATATATGCACATATGAATAAATTCAGATGCAACTTCCAGGTCAAGTCTATTAGTTACATTAATACACTTTCCAGAGTTAGGACTATTAGGGTTGCAAAATTCCCGGAACTTTCCATGGGAATAAACAGGAATTAACGGGAATTTATGGGAATAAACTGAGAATTTTCAAAATTGAAGGTTGGCTCTTCTTAGGGAACTTAAATATAGTTGAGCAAAGTATATTTTAGCATAATATTGACAAAAACAAACAAATGCAATTCAAATACACTTGAATATCCATGCCATTCCTTAATCACATGTACAGAGCACATGCTTGCTGCATGGCTATTGAGACCACCTACTGGCACTGTGCATGCCTCCATCACATGTACACATGGACCACACTTTTGAGCCTGAAGGACAAAGAGTATTGAAGGCACACATTTGAGCCTGTGGACCTAACAAGTGAGGTAAGTTTTGATGATATTATGGGAAAATATATTCATTAAATGTTTAAATTGTGAATATCACATAAAATGTATTAATCTGGTAGATAGCAATCTGATAAGATGCTAAATAAAATGCTAGCATCTGTTAGATGCTAAATAAGCCATAGCTAGTATAACATAAAGAAGATGCTAGCTTCCTCATTTGGCTGTTTTGTTTTGAAGATTAATCCAGTTGTTTAGCTAGCCTTACTATTTATATCTGTTTATTATCATACTGCAATTGTATTATTACGATCTCTTGCATTGCATTAGCATTTTTACAAGCTCTTGTTTTATTTTACAGAAAAATGCCACGTGCGCTATGTGATGTGTGGAGACATTTTACACCAGCTAATGTACAAAGGAAATCTGTATATATGTGTAAGTATTGTGATAAGACGTATGTGAAGAATGCCACAAAAATGCAGCAGCACATTGCAAAGTGCAAAAAAATTCCTCAAGGCCCAACACATGCAGCAGCCAGGAGTTCCACTCAAGGGGAAAATGAATCTGTTTCAGCTGTATCAGAGTCAGATACCCACTCATCAGCTCCTAGTCCCTCTGGCATCAGAGGATTCTTTGATTTTATGGATGACACTAGCCAGAAAAACGCAGATGAGTGTTTCGCTC